GAGGAATTGGGAAGATTGTCCAGAAGCTGGGACTGCGAAATTCACAGTGGGGAGGACCCCGCCCACTTCCGATTTCCTCATGCGTTAGAGCCCATTTTTGCCGTTTTTGCGCTTTTTTGTGCATTTTCGGATTCAGCGTAGCGAATAGGCCAGGATAAGCACAAAATTTCAAAATCGAGTTTTTGCCCGTACACTGCCTTTGAGCACGGGAAGGTTTGCGGGATTAGGTTCACCTGAGAAAGTTCTTCTAAATGACTAATCTCAGGTCACCTGAAATGAATGCGGTTTACTACGTTCCACCGAAAGGTAGACCGCACTGATTCTCACTGTACTGACAATAAAGGAAGAAGAAGAATAACTAACAATCTTGGAAAGCTCAACATCATATAACGTAATTGACACTCTTGCCAAGATTCGAAAAAAGTGATGCGTGAAATTTAGTATTTTTGTCTTATTGCTTACATGAATCTGCATATTCACTGCTGCGAAATTATGCATTCAAGTCTCTTGAAAATTCTTTTGGCTTCAAAAAACAACATCAGAATTGAAATCTTGCGTGCTAGAATAAAGTAAAATCTTCTTTGGTTCCGTCCGAGTTTAGTTTAAAACCAGTACATTTTCAAGAAATGGTAAGCTTTTATTTTCTCAGAACAAGACTGGTTGGCCGTGCCTTGAGTTGCCACCGCCAAAATTTTTGTTTTGATTTATACTATTTCACATATTTGCAGTATGGCTTCTTTCATGAAATTCTACGTCAATTTATGGTAAGAAAATTTGGAGAAAAAATGTGGATGGAAGTTGTGTGAGTGACCTTTCAATCTAATTTTCAAGAAGACACATTCAAGAGAATTTTAGCAGCGGAGCTGGGTTCAACTATGGCGAAGAATGCCTAACCGATCACTGCTATCCGGATTCCGACACCTATTTACTAGCGAACAGCGTAGCGGAGTTGACTAGTAGGTACACTTTGGTCGGGACTGTGTTGAGCCTATTAAATTTTCCTGCAGAAATGACAAGCGAGGAAATGTGGGAAGTATTTGGCCGTTTCTTCGTTGAGTATGCACTGGAGAGAGGATGGGAAGATGTGATCCGCAGCATCGGTCCAAATTTGAAAGTTCGACTAGTTTCTAGAAAGTAATCTACACTCTGTGACAAGTGTGTACTCCTTTCGCGTGAGTACTACGCAAGCAAAGTGAGGACTTGTGTGCGGACTTAAAGGCAGCGTTCAGGCAAGTCTGGACACATGGGGATCTCACGTGCTCAGACAATTCACCGGAACTTCCGCAGGACAAGCAGAACTTGCAGCGTTTCCGCAGCACTTTCTTAACCATTGAGAAAGTGCACGCTCCAAAATGCGAGGTTTCCGCAGGAATTTGACGTCACAGCGATCATAAACCGGAACTTCCGCAGCACTTTGCATAAAGCGCTGCGAAAGTGCAGTGAGGCTCGTAAGGTTTCCGCAGCCCTTTGACCTGCCAGCATTTCCGCAGGACTTTGAAAGCGCATGCATTCGCGATTGCGAAATAGCGAACGCAACATCAACAGCGCACAGCGCACTCTTTTCTTCCATGCTGTTTCGCTTCTGTTTCTCCTCTGATCTTTCTCTTTTTTCTTTCTTTCTTCACTGTTGGCGCAAGTAAACCCATACCCATCCATATCCTAGGTATTCTTTCAGGCATCGGTGCAGGTGTGTGAACAGCCATCACCAAGCTGCTGGAGTGCTGGAAAAGGACTCAACGGAGGGATTTCGCAAGCACAACCCCCTTGTCCAAGTATGCGAACTTCTTTGCTTTATGCGCTTTGACTGAAATAATGCAAGTAATTTGCAAGTAATGCAAGTAAGCTGATTTCACAAATATGTTTACTAGCCTACCACATAACATAATAAAAACCAACCTCAAGGAACTTCTCAAATTATGCTTCAAAAATGCAAACAAAAAATACCTGACATATAATGGCTATAACAAAATATACTACACCGATAATATAAACACAAAATCTAGCCACAGAAACTACACCATTTCAGATTTATTGTATTACATTGATTATATTCTTGATAACAGTTTCTGTAGATTTAGCACATACATTTTTAAACAAAAAATAGGGGTACCACAAGGCGGTAATTTTAGTCCATTGTTAGCAGACCTGACACTATCTTGGTATGAATACAAGTATATAGTTAATAAAGTAAATAACAATCAACAACTTTTTGCATTTCGTTATATGGATGATCTATTAATCATACACAACCGCACTGAACCTACAATTCATACTATAATCAAAAACGTATATGATAACAAACTAAGTTTGGAAACTACTCATATAGATAATTTACATTGTAATTATTTGGACTTACATATTACAATCATTAATAACAGAATCACTACTAAAATGTATAACAAAACTGATAGTTTCCCTTTTCAAGTAAAAAGATTTATACACATCACTTCTGGTGTATCCAATCACATCAAAAACGCAATTGTTTACACAGAAACTTTAAGAGTTGCCCGTACTTGCACTTATCTTGACGATTTTGTCAAAAAAATACTACAGTTACGAAACTTACTTATTTCCAATGGATACAATGAAAACATGATTTATACAAATATTTTCAAATGCTTACATAAGAATAATTTTATACTATATAAATACGAATTTTACAATTACGACAAAATTAAAAGATTTTTACACATTCTACATCAAAATTTACACAGTATATAGTTAATTGATGTAATATATGTCTTATACCAGACTTCAATTAAGCTCTTTCATACAATCCTAATCAATAGCACATATCATTAATCAGTATAGTTATTTCAATACACATCTACACCAAACAACCAATTTAGTAAAGTAGTCTATCAAAATGACTAACATCATAGTAAATAAAACCAACTACAAAAACACTAACATGTTTCATTTTATCCTCTAGTCACCAATATGGTCACTACTATATTTTATAATATATGATTCTATATATAATATATCATATATAATTATGTATAATGAAAGACGGAGTATAAAAATTGTAAGTTGTTAAACTTCATCTATTTCAACAACATTAAAAAAATTTTTATCCTAAAACTTTTTAAATACACAGGACTCATGAACTCTCCTTCCTTACTGATGAGTTCCGGGGAGAGTTCTGAGCTCCTTTACTCCGTCTAAGGACAGGAACGAAACGGAGTTAAATTAGTTCATTGCAAAATTGATTTCCATGTTGAACAAATTATGGCACCACATTTTGTATATAACTATCTCTATTTCTATTTCTATTTCTATTATAACTATTACTTTGTAGAAAATATGCACTGGATCTAAATAAAGCAGAAGAGTTAGGTAGAAATATATCCAAACAAAGAAGGGGGGGGGGAGAGAAAAACGGGTACCGAAATTTCAAAGCGATTTACAAGGTCTTGGTAAATATTGAAATATTTTCAAAAAAAAATCAGATTCAAATTAGGTGGGACCAGTAAGTTCGCCAGTTTTTCAAAAAATCATAACTTCCTTTTGACTCGTTGGATCTCTTTGCGTTTATATTCTCTAACAATAAGAGAGAAATCATTTTCTTTACAGCAGTACTTCTGCCATGAATTGGCATAAAAAAGTTTAAAAGTTCGAAAGTGAGAAGCAACTGAAGAAAATTACTCAAAATTGGCATTTTTCAAGCAGAGTCACTAAAAAATTCTGAAAGAATTTTTCGATAGAGAAAGCTATGCTCTTTACTATAGCGCTTTTTCCAAAAACAAGATTGGAATTAGAAGCAGATAAAGAGAATACTTCAGTTTTGCGTCGGAAGGGACGAGAAAGTCATGTGAACATGGATTTGGTGACCATCTCTTTTTAGTTGAGAGAAATTCGTGGCAGTCGAGAGCAATTTTGATTTTCGTTATATTGCCGAGTTTTCGGATCTGATTTTCTATGAAAATCAAAATTGCTTTCGATTGGCACGGATTTCTGTCAGCTACATAGAAGGAGGACACAAAATCCATGTTCATGAATAACCCGTCTTTTCTGTGACGTTTTTGGGCATTTTTGAGCATACTCAAAAATTGCAAAACTGAAGTAATAGTTCTCTTTATTTGCTTCTAATTCTCAATCTTTTTTGTTTTTGGAAAAGGCACTATAGTAAAGAACATAATTTGTTCTATCGAAAAAATTTTTCTATCGAAAAATTTTAGAATTTTTTAGTGACCTGCTCAAAAAATGCCAAGCTTGAGTAATCATAAATCATAAAAATCAAAGAGATCCATCGAGTCGAATGAAAATTATGATTTTTTTAAGAAAGTAACGAACGTACGTTTGGACCCACCTAATAGTTGCGGACAATTTTCGAAGGAGCTGTGCCAAAAAGAATCAAGGTGGTAAAAAAAGTGTAACTGTAAAAGTTTAAGCATTCCTGAATTTTTTTTGCTGGAAGTGGCCACACGCTCACGAACCCAAAAGTTTCAATCCCTCCCTCCCCCTCCCTTAAATGAATTTCTCGCGCCGCCACTGCTTTTCGTGTGTCCATCCTTTTCTACTCTCTGCTTTCATTTTCAAATCTTTTTCCTCTCACAATACCGCACACATCACAAAATAATGAATTTTTGTTCAAAGATAAAAAGTTCAAAACTTACGATTTGAAATAATAGCTCGAGTAATTCGAAATCAAAATTTTTAAATAATAGTGTTGAATGATTGAGTAAAATAGATAATAATGTGGTAGAAATATATGAAAAGAAAGGGGCGGAGCATATGGGTCTCAAGAACATTCGTAGTAGTCTGCGACTGTAGATAATGAAAGATCAAAGCTCCTCTAAACTCTAAAGTAGTCTGTTTAGGCAATTTTCGAAGGTGTGGCTCACTCCACGCCCATTTTTGCTTTGAAAAAATCGAGGGCATACAAAAACTGGAACCATGAAAATTCAACCATTCCTAAATTTCCCTTTGTTCGGTGGCTCACGCCCACAAACCCAAATGATTTTTTGTCCCCCCCCCCCCTTGAAGTTTCTTGCACCACCACTGCTTCAATATATTTATCCTTCTCTGCTCCTCTGTTTTTGTTGTTTTAAATGCTTTTCTCTCTCCCAGATACTTCCTACATCTTCAACGGATCTGCACATATTTATTTTCGAATTAACGTTTCCAATGGTACCTACCTGAAGTACCTTTTAATGGAAGCAAGCTCCAAAGATAGAAGTAGGAGAAGAAAAACCCTATTCTCAGGTGTATAAGCCGCACCCTTTTCACTCTAAAGGCGAGCACGCCAAAAGACTGACTGTCATCATGGAGCGCGTTGAGTGAGAGCAGTATGTGATAAGGCGACCGCTTCGCGAGACATATGCGCGGCGGCACGCCTGGGTCTGCTCGCGTTTAGAGCAAAAAGGGTGCGGCTTGTACACCTGAAAATAGGGTACTCCATTCTCAAAATCTCTGCGTTTGATCGCAAAACTGAAACTCGCAACGGAAATCGGAGCAGTATAGGTTTTATAGCCTGCTCTTTCTGGCTGTGCCAAGTTTACGTTGATAACCTCTTTATGAAAAGTTATGATTTTCGAAACAAATGCCAAAAAAATCATATTTACTCTTTTTTACGGCTTCCTCGGAGATCAAGACTTTTTAAGAGACGTTCAATAAGCGCAATCTTTCTACACTCAAAAAGAGTAGGTAATAATAGCTACGTTGCTCCGATTTTCTGCAAGCAGACTTTTGCGACCAAACATGGGGAATATTAAAATAGAGTAATTTTCTTCACCGACTTCTATCTTTGTTGCTATCAAAAAGTGCCTCAGGTGCCATTAGAAAGCATGTCCTCTTTCAAAATAAACATGTGAATATCGGATGTGAAGGGAGAAAGTTCGAATTTTTGAAAAGATGGGGACGAGCTTTCGATTCATTAGTATTGTCTTCTAAGTATTAATTTATGAAAATCCAACAATAACTTATAATAACTTTCACTTACACATACCTGCCTTAGAGTCTGACACATACCTTTTTTGTGTGGAAAATGGGGAATATTAGATTAAAGCAAAAGTTCTGTCGTTCCAAATTTGAAAATTCCAAAAAAATTTTGTATACACTCTTGTAATTTTCAAATATTCCCCTAGCTTCTCTTGTTGAGATTTCGAAATTTCCCAAAATTTCAAGTGAATCGTCCAAATTTCCTCCGTATTTCTTGGCGAAGAAGTTGCAAAATGGAATTGCGGCAAGGCACGATTTACATCACGAAATTTCAATCAATTCTCATTACAGAAAGGAAGGGAGGCCGAAGCCGGCTTCAGTCGCGCGGACAAGGTCAAAACGCACCCGATAGGGGAAGCGGTTTATTTCCCCACAGGACCATCTTCCCTTTCAAGCGCATATTACCCTTTGTGAATGAGATTGTTATTCTTGTTTTTATCTTATTCTTCCATTATTCTTAACTCTTCCATCAGTTTAACATTGTTGTTTAATTCTTCATATCTGCCGACTAAACTTATTCGGTTATGCATATATACTCGAATGCTTCTGTAATTTTATGTTTATTTATTTATGAACACTTCATTGAATCTGTTGATTTGCAATTATCAACTTCAGCCTATTGTGATTCTGTATGGTACCTGCATAAAACAATACACTGTCATTTGGTTTCTCATTGAAACTATCTCGCTGTTTACGTCTTTTAGCATCTAGAAAGTCTAGAGGAATTTCCACATCAAAGGAATAATGCCTTAGTAAAAAGCGAAAACCTAGTACTGGAAAGGAAAACCTAGTATCAAAAAGGAAGCTTGATATGGAAAAAACGGATCGCGGATTAAAAGCGCAAAGTGCTGCGAAAATCCTGCGAAAGCGCTGCGGAAGTTCCGGCCAGTTGTCCGAGTGGATAGTAATTTTGGGGCCCTAACTAAGCCACTGCCAAACCGGCAGCTCAAGTAGTGCTTTAACGGCTGAGATATTCCTTTCGAAACTGGATCCCGCGATCGTCCGCATGGATTCATGGCGCAAACCGTGGATCCTGGCGCGAGACTGTTATGAATCCATGCGAATATGATCGCGGGGTCCACTTTCGAGGGGAATATCTCAGCCGTTAGAGCGCTAACTGCGCTGCCGCTTGGGCAGTGACTTAGATAGGGCCCCAAAAGTACTTTCCACGTAAAATCCCCATAGGTCCAGATCTGCCTGGACGCTGCCTTTAATCGATAACGCAAATTGAATGCCCATGCCATACGCGCGCGAACGTGGCGCGAAGCCCTGGTGTGGCAATTGCGCCACTTCAAAAGGGAGTATACAGTTGACACAGAGTGTAACCACCTCAACCTTCAAACACCAGGTCTTCTTGGACAATCTCGATTATTTTCACTTCTTCATTGCCCAAGCTGTCTACATGAAAGACCTTCAAAGCCCATCATTTCGTAGCAAAGAAAATCCTGATGGAAGCATCGCTCTTTATTACCTGAGTAGTCATACTGGACTATATCCGTTTGTATTAGGTAGGATTTTACAACCTCAACTTTAATCCAACTCTACCTGCCTTTTTTCAGGTGCTTTAACCGTCATAGCCCAAAGAATTTTCAGCCTGGATATCAACCTGAGCATTATCAACAAAGCTGAACAACGTGTAGGAATGACCGACCACCAAAGGACTGGTGAATGTGTGACATTTCGAATCGAGGTGGCTTGGTCGAAATCGCTTACTCCCAATAAAGGGCATGTTTTAGATTGTTGAGCGCGAGGCCAATGCAAGTCATGCTCTTTCGACCGCAGACTCATCGGCACTAGGTTCCTTTCTCTTTTTTTTTTGAAAAAAAGCCGGGGATTTTTTAATCTAGAAGCTTGTATTGCAGCAAACTTTAGCAACGAACTGAAAATGAACGCAGCCGATTTCTGCATAGCCCTACCTTACCACATCATCATGGACGAACAATGCTGTCTCGTACAAGTAGGAAATGCTTTGAAGTGAGCCTTAATGCAAAAAAAAAGCTTTGAGAAAGGCGGATTGGCAGAATTTTTCAGTCCGTTTTCCCGTGGTTCATTAAATCTGACAGAAAATTTTTTTATAGAGATCATATCTCGCATGAACTCCTGGCTCTTGGTACACCAGTCACAAAAATATTCGAAATTAAATGGTGAGTTAGTGAAATATGAGATATCTTGATAGAGAAATGCTAGACACAGGCCACAAATTCCGTTTGACTACAAAAACATATGCAATTCCATCAATGCTGTTTTTGTGCTGCAAGCTATAGAGTCCTTGGAAGAAAAAGTCCGGATGCAAATGAAGGAAAAGTACGCATACCTATCTCCCACTACAATTCGAGGAGAAATGAATATATTTCAGGGAGATAACACACGGCTTTGTAATGAAGTTTCGCAAAAATTTTAGTTATCATCTGCAACTCAAAGGGCAAATGATGCTGCTTTCTGATGGCGATGTAAGCCGGACATTTATGCTTACATTTAATTTTGATATTTTTCTCTATGTAGTTTCTGTCAACCATATACTCTTTTTTCCATGGCGCGATCGCCACGCCAGGTTTGTAGGCGATGTCGGCGCGCGTATGGTTTGAAATTCAAAACTGCCCCATCTCAGATATTCGTGGTTGACTCGACCGCATAGAAAACTTGAGTAGCGACAGAATGACTGCGGAACTTAAAGGCAGCGTCCAGGCAAGATCCATCCACCCAGATTAGCACATAGTTGTAAAGATGGGCCCATGAGTATCCAATCTGCGTTGGTCCAATCCTTTGACGTGCCCTTCAAAAGGAGATACGGGCCTGGTATACATATCACAAGCCGCCCCTTCGTATCACAAACCACCCCTGAGGACGAGTGCTTATGCAGGTGTGCGGTTGTATCACAGTTGCATTGCAGTTGCACTGCACACTGCAATGCAACTGCATCCGTGCAATTGCAGCTCCTCCCGCTGGCAACGATGGGGACGAGCAATTCGAAACTCGTCCGCTCCTTGAAGAGAGGGTCCTCCCCCAGAACCGGGTTTTTTGGAAGTTTTGAACAATTTGGACTTTACAACTGTAATCAGGGCCACGGAAAGGCCCCAGAGTGGCAGAAACATGAGAGACGAAATTTTGATCGGACTCTTCCTTTAACCAAATCTGTCGCGAAAAATTTCAAACACCGGCATTTGAGACCCAGTAATGTTGTGATACTCATTTACGACGCAACTTGCGCTCATCACTGTTCTTTCGACAATTTTTAGAATGTATTTTTAATCATGTTTTTGAGTTTACATGTATTTACCAGTATTCAAGTAGATGTTTATTGAAAATTTTTACAATATTTGTACACAGTTTGGACTAGGTAACTTCAGTTTTTCAGAGTAGGAGTGTAAACAAAAACGCATGAGCACAAGAGTAAAGCTATGAAATCAATGCATTTTTTCTAGCCAGCGTGGTGATAATGAGAGAAAATGTTCAACCATGAAACGTAATTAGGCGAAGCACACGTGCGATGAGATATTGTTCTTCTTTATTTTCGTCGTCTTCATTTTTCATGATGTACACCGGATTAAGCTCGATGTGGTTGCGCAGTTGGTTGTTTGATTGCGCTTGCTTTTTTCTAAAATAAAAGTGTCATTTTGGAGCTGATGTGCATAGAATAAATGTCTATTACCGTCGGTGAAAATTCGTTCGTTTTCGGCTTGAACTTATAAGCCCGCAAGTCTCCCACAAATTGAAGATATATGTGCATATACATACAGGGTGTCCGTAAATATGTATACACTGTTTGATCGTTACTATCTTTATTCCCAACAAGTCTTTTGCCTTGCTTCAGGTACCGTTTTGTAGAGCTGACTTCAACTTAGATTTACAGTATGGAGCGAATCAGCGATCGCTCTTCATTACTGCAGGATTACGGTATAAACTTGAAACATATGGTGTCAATGTGGGAAAAGCTCCGTCTCAAATTTTTTCAAAAAAAAGTGAAAACTTGTGCAATAGAGTTTTTATGGACGATGAGCTCAATACTCAACTATTCACAAGATTGCGAAGCTTTATAAACGGTGTAACCGCACTTTTTAGCAACATTGAAAAAATGGCTGCTACCTCTTACCCGGCATAACTCTTTAATGAAGCATCTTAAAGGCACCGTCCACCCTAAGTTGAGGTGTTAAACTTTTGGCAGCATATAATAGTAGGACCCCTTATCAATCCAATGCCCAAGTGGCGGCGCAAAATGCCGCTTCGGAAACGAGAAAATCGCTTCGGAATAGCGAAGATGCACGAGGACCCGCATCCATGCCTGCCCTCCCCATCCATGCCCGGCCATTTGTGCGCACCCATCCAATCACCGTTCCGGAAAGCCGGCCTGTGGGTTCTCCAGAACGGGGATTGTCGGAGTTTTCGCGCATTCTCGACTTCATATTCGGAATCAGGGACATAAGAAGGCTCTGAAACGACAAAAACGTGGAAGTCGAAAATCTGGGTGGAGGGTGCCTTTAATAAATTGGGAACTTTACATTTAGAATCAACGACTCTAATTAGCCTAGTAAAGGTTTCAGACCGTTTTGTTTCCTTTCTGAGGCGAAATATGGCCTTTCATGGCTCAAAACCCTCTTTGAAGCTTCTACCGTAATCCTACAGCAATGAAAAGAGATGGGTGATTCGTTCTATACTGCAAATCTAATTTGAAGCCAGCTCTACAAAACAGTACCTGAATCAAGGTAAATGACTTGTTGGGAAGAAAGATAGTAACGATCAAACAGTGTATACATACTTTACGGACACCCTGTATACAGGGTGTTCTCAAAATGTGCCTGCTGTTTGATTGTTAACAATTTTTTTTTATCATGAAGTCTTTCGATAAGCCTTAGGTACCATTTTGTAGAGCTGGCTTCATCTTAGACATACGGCATGGAGCGAATCACACTAATCGCTCTTTGTTACTGTAAGATTACGATAAGAAATTTCAGCATTTACTGTCGCTCTGAGAAGCTGCCGTTTCAAATGACCTCAAAAAATCTAAGAACTAGTTTGATAAGGCTTCAACGGACGCTTAGAATGACACTCCACTTTGCACAATATTGTGAAGCTTTCTACGGTGTATCCACATTTTTAGACCATCAAAATAGTGTCTGCCACTGCTGATGGCGTAACTTTTTGGAGCATTATGATGAGATGCAAACTTCATATTAAGAATCAACAGTCCTAGCTAGCCTAGTGTAAGAGTTGTCACGTCGCTTTCTTTTCTTTCTGAAGCGAAATAAGGCCATGGCTCCATGGCTCCAAGCCTTTTCAAGGTTCCTATCGCAAGTCGATAGTAACGAAAAGGGATCGTTAATTCGCTTTATACTGTAAATCTAACAATAAGTTGAAGCCAGCTACAACATGGCACTTAATACTCATAGAAAGGTTTCATGGCAAGAAAGTCATTAACACTCAAACAGTAGGCACAATATTTGGACACCATGTATGGGGTAGAGGAGCTTAGGTCGCCGAAAGGAGCGATCCCACGCGGACATTTGCAACAAATCGCGCCCTGTTACCATTGCTGCCTCATGCTATCTGTTCGCACGGGTGGAGCCACGTGGTGACCTGATGTAAATGTTTTGGAAGAGTACATAAAAGCAACCAAAAATTAGATGCATTTTTGAACACCCCGTACATATTTTGAAAGAATACATAAAAGCCTACAGCACCCCTTGAAGCCAAAAGTTTCAAGCTGTTTGTATTGTAAAAGAAGGGTGCTTGTTGGAACTATTTATCCTGGAGTCATTTGCAACTTACATGCGCGTTGCACTTCGCGCGCTACTTGGTTTGTAAGATTAAACTTGCTCAATTCTTGCTTTTCTTTGTTTTCTTGTCTCTTCGGTTTCATTGGATATGATATAGTTAGCACACCGCACTCCTACAGTTTTCAATAGTGAAAAAGGTTTTACTGCGATGCACGACTAAGAATTGCTGTTTGCCGAGCCTACTGTGCAGGCTCACAGATTAATCGCAAGTTACCCGACGATATGTTCTTCAGAATGACAGGCCTGTAACTGAAGAAGATCTAACCGCGAGACCTTCAAAATACAGACAAACACCACTTTTGATGGAGTCGCCTTCAGATTACTTTGCTCATAAGCAATGGCATTCCGTTAGTCATACTTGGGAAGCCTCTTAAGGAATGCATGTTTAGTCGAAGTGGCCTTTTTAGATGGGATGTATACCATATTAATGAGCATAAAATGCTGATTCCAAATCTGCCTTCCGTATCTGCAGAGTTTTTACGGACGAAGAGTTATGAGCGCTTGGAGCAAAAAATTGAATGTGCAAGTCGGAGAAAAATAGCCGTAATACATTCTCTAGCTCTTCAATGGAGCAAGTAATGATTACCAGAGCACTTTATTCAAAAATACTCTGAACTAAAAAATATATCACCCTTGGCTGCATTATTTGAAGGCTATTAGGATTTTAGCAACTTATTTTATTCAAAATACACATTCAATTTTTGGCTGCAATAAACGCTCATAACTCCTCGTCCATAAATGCTCTGCAGATAAGGGAGGCAGATTTGGAATTAGCATTTCATACCTTTTGATATGCTACACATCTCATTCAGAAAGGTCACTTCGACCAAACAAGCTTCCCTTGTTAGATCAGCAAAGGCAAATTCAGTGTCAGTAGTGTTGCAGCAAGAAACTTTGAATATGCTAATCTAGTGCACCTTTCCTCTGACACTTTCTTAACAGTATCCCAGAAAACATAGAACTTGCAACTAGCTGCATTCAGCTGAATTGCTATGGGTTCATTTGATGCAATGATTCAAAAAATTACACACGTTTTTGAAGGTTTACAAAACTCAGAACGAAAGCTTTCTTCGACTTTCTTGCCACATAAATATAAAATCACCTTACTATCCCCAGAATAATTATGATTTTTGATCAATGCAACTAAAAATCGATTTCTTCTCAAAAACATGAGAAATCCAATGATGAAGAAGATGCGAGCATCGAAGGAGTGCTTGTTGCATTACTTGCTAACCAAGGTGAAGAAAGACTAGCTAGAAATTACGAGGACTGAATGTTTAGAGAGAAAGATACATTCTAGAAAATTGAGAAAAATTAGAACTGTCATGGAAAAGAAACCAAAACGTTTCTAAGCCGAGGGCTCAAATCAAACTGCTGTTCGCTTTGCTTGAAAGCCAAAGAATGATGTGTAAGATGTACGATCCAGACGACCGCAACGAGGTTTGCTTGCTGTTCAAAGGCAGGTTGCGAGTTCCTTGACTCATTAAAATCGGCGACATGCTACCCTAAAATCCCGCCAATAAGTCCGGACTTATGTGCAGTTTTGGCAGGGAAAATCGATGGAAAAACGCCGTCTGCGCCGCCAAAAGGTCTACCAGATAAGTCCGCCTAAATCCTCCCACAGACAAGCCCGCCTGTCCTGAGCATGAGCAAGCGCGACCTGGGAGCACAGACGCGCGCGACCGCCCGCGTGGCTTGCCAGTGTAGATTTAAACGAGGCCGCGATATCGCCTGAAAGAAAGAGTCCAAGGATTCGACAAGTCGTACAGTCTACTTACTGGCAGTATCGTCGCGGATTCTTCATCACATACGCTGGATAGGTGAGTTCTTCTCTTTAATATGACATTTCTTTTGTATTGAAGTTGATGACACGATGGTAAGGTCGGATTTCACCCCACTGCCAGCAAATACTAGGGTGGGGAGATTTCCGATATAGGCTAACTACAGTACATGCATCTCCTACAAAGCTTTTTTAGAATGCTGATCGTCGCGCATACTCTGTTCCAAGCAGTAATTGACGAAGTACAAAGACACAAACGGTTCGTAATTCTGCAAAAGGCTTCAGAGAAGTTGTTTTGGATATCACATGTTCCAGTGCTTCAAACCAAGCGGTGAAAGCGCCTGAAAAGAACCGTCTGAGGACTTGAAGAGCAGTGAAAGCTACTTGTTCAGAATACAGCCGCGGTTTCGTCATCGCGTACGCTGGATAGGTGAGTTCTTTTCCTATATATGACACCTGTACGAAATTTCTGCCGATTAAAAGAATCATAATAGGTTTCATCATTGTATCATTGCAATCATCTCATCTTATCATTCATCTTATCGTTTTGGAGGCGACAATGTTTTCAATACATCTCTCGAACCTGTACAGGCTACAACCCTTGAGCCTAACTGCCTATACTTTTTGCTTCCTCTATTGTTTTCATGGTCTGAACGTAGTCTCTGTTGACCCACGCCATACGGCTTTTGTCAAATGCTTTAATGAACGGAAGAGTGGCAATCTAAAAACGCTCAACCCTAGCAAGGCATTAGGCTTCTTTGTTCTTTTTCTCAATTGTTGTTTCATTAAGCCTGTACATCCAAGACAAAAGATAGTGTAGTCAAATTTGATGCCGCCTGCTTTTTCTTGTGAAAGAGTAAACCTTTCGATGATCAGCGCAAATTTATAGGACTCTGCGTGATTCGAGTGTGCAATGACCGCTAACTCAGCGAAGTTCGCAATCACGTAGAGCCCTATATTTCCGTCATAGCCTCACATGCTGTGACTCAGCTGTTCAGGTGTTTCGGATCGCAATGGCTACCAGAAGGAAGTCCTACACCACGCTTTTCAAGCTTAACGCTATAGAATATACCTTGGAACATGGGACATCGGCTGCAGCTGCTCATTGCGAAGTCTCTGCACGTCTGATTCGAAGATGGAAGGCCGATAAGGAGAATTTGGAGGATATGCCACTGAAGAAACGCGCCAACCGTTATGGAAAGCAAAAGGTGGAGGAAATCGAGGAAGCTGTCTATGCATGGATTGTGCAGAGGCGAGAAGCACGCAGAGCAGTGCTTATCAAGGACATTCGAGCGAAAGCATTGCAGTTAGCGCAGGAATATGGCCGGCAGTACTCCAAGGCAACGGAGTCGTGGTGCAAACGGTTTATGATGAAAAAGAACTTAGTCGTTAGAAGAAGAAGCAGCGTCGGTCAGCCACGTTTTTGATAATGATGAACATGGAATGGAACCTGAATAAGGATCTGTTGCTTTGATTCATTTTGAGACCAAAAAAGGCAGCACAATTTCGCATCCTTCTTGTTTTCATCTGAAAAAAGCGGACTTATCTGCAGGGCTCTTGGCGACTTTCGTTGCCACGAAAGCGGACTTAACTGATAGTTCCTTTGCGGACTTATCTGATAGGGCGGACTTATCTGTTAGGCGGACTTATTGGCGGGATTTTAGGGTCTGGCTCAGTCCTTGTGCGTTATGCTGAAAAATCAACAGTAAAATGGATCGTACCTGGAAAACAAGATACGGCATGTAAAAGAAACATCATAGTATTGACGCAACAATGAAAAAAGGAGGTGAAAGCTACTAAATGCAGGCTGAAGAGCGGAAACGATGCCAAAAAAATGAGCGCAGATTGAAGCGCACCATTTACCGCGCTTGACTTGGCTGCATACTTTAACATCACGAGTCAATCGTAAGTCGCGACGAGTGTTATAAATTTCGCTTGCCTTTTTTTTAGTATCGCGAGCCCGAATGTCGCGACAAAAGCGGGTTTACCGCAGCAGCACTCATTTTATCGTGATACTCCATTTTGTGGGCGGATCTACTGCGCGAGTTAACTACGAATATCTGAGACCCTTGGAGTTTCGCAGGTCCTCGTGCTGCAGATGCTTAGCCTATGCAAAAGGGAACACGTATTTGATAACTGAGCGCACATTCAGAGAATATTTTTTTGCATTCTTCGTAGACCTTGAAAGGGGTGTTTCGCACTTTCAGAAACTAATCTACATTTGCTCTCCTCACATTATTTCCTTGTACGAACTAGCAAAAACGAGCATGAAAATAGCTGAGATCCCTGTACATGACACCACCAGAAGCCTAGTTCTTCTTCGTGAATTCCTTACGGACGTGGATATGCAGTAAGCTACTACTATTCTAGTAGACGTTTGCATAGAAATGTGCAGCTTTAGCCGTCAACTCGAAGCAAACGACGAACAAATAGAAAGTCTAGAGGACGAGCTCAAGGCGCAAGACCATAAATTAGGTCCACTTTTTTAACGCATGTGTTTTTTCTGTGAGCAGAATAACAACCTTTTTTTTAGGTATGGCCCTACGTAAAGTGCTACCAGAAACGCTTGCTGTCAACATAATGGAAGGAGAGCCTATTGAAGCGCGTAAGTTCCAAAGGCGTGGCATGAGGTCCCAGTCATACTTCGAGCGCTTTTAGTCGCCGTGCGATTTGGCGACTTGCCAAACGTCTTTAAGGCCTCGGGCATACCTCACGTGATTTCAGTCGCGACGCGATTTGGCAATACTCCAAATGTTCATAACTCATCGTACGGGGTTTCTGAATGCACGGAAGATGGAGCATTTTATCCACCTACGAAAGTTATACAAATTGCCAGATGTCTTCAAATTCAATACGTGGCGACTGAAATCGCATGAGGTATGCCCCTTGCCTTATGCATCTGCGGATGAAAAATGCATGTGTATAAGTTTGGGAAAATGATAAATACTTTATATATCAATTGCGCGCGATGAGTTATAGTTGAGGGACAATGAATGTGTAGGGACAGAAGACCCTGCGCAAAAGCCTCATAAGGAGAAAGGTCCGTCGAAGTCGCCTTTCTGGAAGAAACGGTGCTGACTTGAAGAGTACGAAATGCTGATTTCAGATATACCTTTCTTTTCTGCTGCTTTCCGAGCAAGGAGCTTTAAAGGTTTTTATGGGCAAAAAAAAGTCAATGTATATTCAGTTTAAAATCAGTCGTCGACTTTTCCTAGCGTTCCGAAATGACAGAGTTGAGTGAATATGTTTGAGCTAGAGAAAATTTTGCAAGAGTACCCGAAACTTATTCGAACCGTAGAGAAAAGGTTACGACTGATTTTATCCTAGCTGCATATAAAAATTTTTGCTCAAAAGAACCTTCGTCACTCCTCGTACAAATAGGTAGAATGGAATCAGCGTTTCATACCCTTCAAGGCAGTATCCATTTTATATCGAAAGGCCACATCGAGTGACTTCCTTTCCTTGTTTGAAGCAGGCTGGATTCGTTTTTGGACAAAAAGCAAAGCTATATCGTAAAACAGCTATGCAAACATATAAATGACCACTCAGACGTACAGGGCAGAGGAACGAACACTTCAATTTGTCGCCTCCGCGGACTACTGGTCCTCGCACGATGGACAGTAGTACAGCGAAAGGGCCAGCTGACCTCAGAGGCGGTGCCTAATTTAGGCATTCATTCCTCTACCCAGACAAACACACTCTTCGGAAACAAGTTTCCACGCTATTAATATGCTTTACCGTGTCCTCTCACAATATTGATCAACATGCTGATCTGAGTGTTACTACTGCATCTGCTTTATGTCGTTTTGTTGATATTACTCGCAACAGTATTATGCGTAGCGTGTGCGCACTGCTCACGTTGTTCATTGCGGGTTCGGCGTCGGACGAGCGTGCAACTTTTGCGGCTAATGGTTTGCCCGGAATACGAATTGTTTAGGCCTGTCGCGAACGCGCCTTCTCTAGAGTGTGACAGTTTAAGGGAATTTACGCCGTTTCAGAATGCAGTAGGGATGCAGTCATTGAGCATTTCCTTCTTCGTAGAAAAATTTATTAATTCCTGCACCAAAATAGGTACAAACCATTGGCGTACCCAGGATTTCGGCTCGGGGGGGGGCGACAAAAATTTTTTTGTAAAGAAGGTGCGTGGCGTTAGCCACGCACTCCGAAAAAATTTTTGGGGTGCTTCTCAAAACTTTTGCGGGTCCCCTAAATTTTTTTTAAAAAGCTAAATTGATTTTTTAAAAAATTTTAAAAATTATTTTAATTACTTACAAGTATAAATAAGTCTCTTGCACATTTAAACTTTCAAAAATTTCGCGACCCATTCTCGGGGGGGGGGGGGGGGGCGCGCCCCCCCCCCTCGGTATGCCACTGGTACAAACCGCAATAATCTGGATTAATCCTATATCCCAAATAGGATTCGATATATCATTAGATAGGGCAAACCTAGCTCTACAAGATAGTGCTCAAATATCTGCACCATCTTCGCGCTTGTATATTTCTGCGGCACTAACTCATTCATAGTTTCAAGTCGATACCAACAGGCTCATATTCAGGAGAATACGAAGAAGCGACCGTAATGTTTGCTGATATTCCACATTTCCAAGAAATTCTGTCAATTTCTCATTCCAAGGATGTAGTACATCTTCTTGAAAAGTTATTTCATCGATTCGACCGCTTAGTTGGAATTCACAATGTTGGTTTCTTAGCTTGAAAAGCTTCAACAAAAAGTTGGCTAGTCCTGTTCGAGGTGTATAAAATCGACACTGTTGGAGATAATTTTATGACAGTGGCTGGAATCCCGGACGAGTTTCCCGAACATGCCGAGATGATGTGTTACACGGCGATTGGTAGGTAGCCAATGATATATGAGGTTGAAAAAAAAAGAATGTCGCTTCTTTCGGTTGAATCGTATTTCTCAGGAACTAAACCGTTTACAATGCCAGAATATTGTGGTTAAAGTTAAAGTTTGTAGTATGCAAATGTATATATGGGAGGAGCCCAGGACCACTGAATGCGAAGCTCGCCACATTTCGCTTTTGAATTTTTTCTTCGTTTTTGACCACGAAGAAAAGTATGGCAAAGCTACATATGGCTAAGAGCATGTGTCTCTCACATGTAGGGAGCAAGTGAATAGTCAGTAGATATTTTTGGGGGCAAAAATCCGATTTTCGACATGATAAGTTGCTCATATATTAGGTTGGTCCGAAAATTCGGCTGTTTTTCAGACCCATGCTCAAACCACTTGAAATAAAGACAGACAAAAGTTTTGAGCAGTATCCGATGCATAAATCTTTCCTTTTTCCAAAGGTTATGTTTTTGTTCAGAATCCCTCAATGTCCGCTCAGTAATGGGCAGGAATCTCCTACACATGATTTTCACCCACCTTCAATTTGGCTATTTTTTAAAAATTCCATTTGCAACTTTTGGACTAGCTTTTATAAGTTACATAGAATAAACAAAAAGCAATACAATGAACTATTTCAACTTTATCAACTAACTCTTTAGTATTTTTAAAATAATTTTCGCAAAAGCCCTTACCTCTACGAAGTCGCGAAATACACAACCGCTTGAAACACTGAAAATTTTCGAAATTAGAAGTTTCCAAAAACGGATTATGACTTAGCACTGATCTTCGCAAGCAAGTGAGCGTTTAGCGGTTCGAAATATTGAATTCCGAATTTTCTAGGTACAGCCTGGGACGCGTCTGAAAACAAAAATTGTGATGATTTTATCCTTAAATATTATACAAATCAGGAAACAGGAAGAAAAGAAGTCTATCAGAAGGAGGAGAAAAGGCTGCATTGAATGATACCTTGGTCGCTAGTCGTTCATTGTTCTGTGAGGATTGAGATACCCAAAGATGGAATTTGATAGCAACAGAAAAATATTTTCAAAAATTTTAAGAAACCAGCCAGAGATGCCAGAAAAATGTATTGTATTGCATTTTGTATATTCTACCCAACTGTTAACAAAGCTAGTCCAGAAGTTGAAAATGGCAATTTCAAACAATAGTCAAACTGAAGATGGGTAAAAATCATGGGTTGGAGGCCCCGCAGATTATTGAGCGGACACTGAGGTAATCTGTACAAAAATGTGACCATTAGAAAGAGGAAGAAATTCTGCATCGGGTATTGCTTATAGCGTTTGTCTACCTTTATTTTAAGTGTTTTAAGCATGGGTCTGAAAAACAGCGCGAACTTTCGGCCGGCCTAATATTTTGGCTTGCAACTTTGCGTGATTCACGACACACACCAACATACAGGAGTCATCTTCTAGAGCTCACTTTGCTCCATCGAGTGATACCCCTCACATTTTTTTGAACTCGTCTTTTTGCTTTGCTATGAAAAACGACATTCTTTTCTTTCCAACCTAATAATTCAATATTGTAACCAAAATCGTTCAAAATAAGTTAGGTGTATATTTCAATGCAGGTATGCTGTGGGAAGCACGATCGGTGCTCGAACCCGTTAGCAAGAAACCCATCCAAGTCCGAATTGCTATACATTCGGGACCACTGGTGGCCGGCGTGATCGCTTCGGAAACACCCAAGTACTTTTTCATTGTTCACTTCAAAGATAGATATTGAGTCGAAGATGGTAGTAAACAAAATAGTAAGTATTCAATCCAAATGACTATTTTTCAATGAGAGAATAAGAAAATGTTGACTGTGTACAGAATAATATGCTACTAGTGTTTTTCTTGTATGACTAAAGAATTATGGCCTGAAAAATAACTCCTGTGTAAAGTCTGAGAACTTTATGGTGAGACAGATGATGTGTGCTCCGGTCAAGTTCGAAACGGAGTGTGTAGTCATTCTGATCAAAAGCTAGCGGCCTTTGGAATTTTGTAGGAGTAGCAATGAGCCTCTGAATTGTAAGTTCAAATTTGCCCAATAATCTCAAGGTTATGGGGAAGAAGAATGTGTCACGAGTGTTACCAGGCAGCAGCTTGATTCCGCAGCCAGCCACTAGAGATGGCGCCAATGCCTTACAAGGGAATGGTCAGAAATCGAAGTAGCCAATTCAAGTAAGATGCATGCCATTAGATGTAGCATAAAACGCTAACTCCAAATCTGCCTTCCTTCTTCTGCAGACCACTTTTGTGGATGGAATTATAAGCGGTTAAAAGCCATTATTTGCTAAGAAATTGTGTGTAAAGGGCAAACTTGACCGTACAAAGCCATTCCTGGCTCAATACTAGATCAAAACTTGCAGCTAGGTCACTTCATATGGCCAGTACCTAAAGGTGAGCGAAAAGGGCAATAATGTGCCTAATCTCGCAATTTTTGTGTACGATTTCTTCGCACCAAAGCTGGTCATAACTTCGCTTACAAAGGCGCTCTGCAGATATAGAAAACAGGTTTCAAATCAGCTTTCTAAATTGCAGCGAATGGTATGCAGCTTGATTGGATTGGCCACTTCGACTTCTGCCCATTCCCTTGTTAGCTGAGCCAGGGCTTAGCAGAGGTGGCGCTCGCTCCCACTCTGGATGTCGTTTTTCGAGGGGAAAGCAAAGGGTAACTCGTAGTTTCCACTCCGAAACCTGCGATATATTAGAAAAGCACAACTCTAACTCTTAGCAAGCCCGACTTGAAGGTTTAAAGGCAGCGTCCAGGCAGATTCTCGACTTCTATATTTTTATGTTATCCAGGCCTCTCCATGGCGCTGATTCCGAATATGGAACTCAAAAAGCGTGAATTTCTCAGAAAACCACCTTTTGGGGCTATTTTGGGAAAACCCGGACTAGTGCTTCTGATGTTATCCTTGTCGAAAGCAAGTATTAACAGGTAAACTCTGTAAGTTCGACTGTGTTGGTCATGTGAAAACACGTCAAGGCTGAGGAGACTTCGTTCATAAGGGGTTGGCCGTCCGGGGGAAGTGGGCGTGGTCGTCGAGCTCGGATCTGCCTGGACGCTGCCTTTAAAGGCAGCGTACACCCAAAACAAATGCAACAGATGTTGCAACAGCAACTGCAACTGCAATTGCAGCTTACGCTGTTATGGATTCGTCCGGAGGAGGCGGAGCGAAAGAAAAGGGGCGGCGTGAAAGAAAATTGAGGGGGGTTTTCTCCGCTCAGAAGCAACATTGGGAGACCGGACCAACGCAGTTGGTCTTCTTCTGGGCCCAGTATATAAACGGTGTAGAAAGATCTAGGAAATTCGGTAACTCAAATTTTGGGTGTACGCTGCCTTTAATGTAATTTTATAATTTTACCAGTTACAGGTAAATCAACACGTTACGACGCGACTAGTGCACAAACCTGTGTGCACACGATTCCACATCTCAATACACAATCTTACGCATAAAAATGTAAACAATCGGTTTGTTTACAAGGAGTAAGCAATATTGAGCCACCAAATTTGGTGTGCACATCGCGGCGATGATCGATCGAAAGAAAAATATGAAAAACTATTGAAAAAATTATGTGAAGGAGGGGAGTTTCAAGTGTTTTTCGGTTTTAGATTGCTCCCGCGCAACTTAGGAGCACCCTGAGGTTGCGCAGGACCACACAAAGTCACGAATCTTCAAAATTCTTTCCCTTCCTGACATAAATTCCAAATTTTTTACATAAGGCTATTCCCATGATCAAGATCTACCTATGAGTGCTCACCTTACAAGTTTCGTCTCCTAAGCTTTGTTACGGCTCTTGATGATATGGAAATAACCTTTTTCCGCATTTCGCTTTTTGATCTTCAACTTATCTTGTTCTTTTCTTCACTTTGATCCCCTTTTTTCGTTGCAGAATATTAGAAAAGCTTCTACAAACACTACAGAGGGGATCTCGTAATTTGCCTGCAATGTCAAGGGGGACTCTTTTTGAATTTGTCTTATGCCACTTCGTGCTGGACCCTGAGCTGAGCTACCGTAAGCGCGTCATCGTCGTTCAAAACCTCTTGCCAAAGGATTTCCACAGTCTTTTTCAACCTGGAGTAGGCGAACATTACAAGTGGAGCAGCGCATCCGCACCGCCACTGGCTCAGAGAGTTAGATTCGAATGAAGAGACGCAGACTGCAAAGCGGCGCGATTCGTTGCGAAGCGGACTCCCGCCAGTCCAGTTTCCGCCTACACTGAGTTGGAACTTACTATACGGCAGCCTCGCGCTAAGGTGCACAAATTGCCTTGAAGTTTACGCAATTGCGACAAAAAGTATATCAATCAGCAACGCAGAAAATTTGTAGCTTGTTACTGATGAATTTAAAGGCAGTGTCCGGGCAAAAACTCGATTTTGAGATTTTGTGCTTACTTGGGCCTATTCGCTACGCTGAATCCGAAAATGCACATTGTAGAGCGCGAAAATGGCGAAAAACGGCTCTAACACAGGAGGGAAATGAGCAGGTGGGCGGGGCCCTCCCCACTGCGAATTCACGTTCCCGGCTTCCGGAGCGACCTTCTCGCTTCCGGTTTCAAGTCAATCATTCGCACTTGACCGGTAGCTATGTTAGGACGGCTAGCGGAATCAAGAAAATCGCTCCGGGAGCGTGAAATCGCACTGGGGAAAGCCCCGCCCACCTGCTGATTTCCCGCCTGTGTTAGGGCCCTTTTTCGCCGTTTTCGCGCTTTTTAATGTGGATTTTCGGATTCAGCACGGCGAATAGGCCCGTATAAGCACAAAATCTCAAAATCGAGTTTTTGCCCGGACACTGCCTTTAAGAATGAAATAGAGAGATATAAGAGAGTAATATAGACTATAAAAATTGGATTTACGTTTGAGATAAGTACATGATCAGGACACAAACTCACAAAAAAATTTAGACAAGCAGTGATTTGGATTTATTTTGCAATAAATCTCTAAAAGATACGCAATAATTGATTGCCAATCATGTTTTGCTTTAGATAAGTCTGAAGTAAAAACTCAGTGGTGAACCAGCCAAGCAGCGGATACACCAGCAAATATTACAGTTATCTGATTGACTCAGACAATTTTTATCTTTGACACTTCACTTTACTGAGAACTGGAGCATTCCCAACCTTAGGTCACCATAAATCTGAAGCACTTAGCAATCAATCATTTCAGATTTTTTCTGTACTACAGAATTGTAGATTTGTGTGTTTTTAGTACTTAAAAAACAATAATCACTTCTATGCTTTTCTGAGTTTTTGTAAGAAGTGCATTAATCAGGCGCTACTATTTTGTACAACAGCTATATTTTACCAAAAAATAACTATATCAATAAACGCCCTGTATTTCATTCTCGCATATTTCCCTCTCTCGTTTGTAAATTATCAGTGGTATAATAGATGCCAATCGGTATACATACTCCTGTGGCAAGGGAGACGGCCCTTCTGAACCCACCGTCCCCTACAGTAATCTAGAACTAGGACGCGCGCGCATGCGCTGCGATGACTGCGGACGAGTGCTCCTTGAAGGGCTCGTACTATTTTCGAAAATCACCAACTTCTTCCGTGCGGCTCTTGCATTATGGAATGTAAGCCAACCACGCTGATTTCAACCAAACACAGCTACCATCCTCTGAATGTTTGGTATTCTGAGCCCTACTTCCCAGCAGGTATGTTTATGATTTCCCTACTTCCAAGCAGGTATGTTCATGATTTATGGGACATTTCCGAAGTCTTCATTTCCATGATTCATAAAAAAACTTCTCATGAATCTCTTTTGAATTTTTTCGAACTTTGTTTTTCTTTGCTTTTTTTCCACTTATATCCCTTGTGTGTGCGATCCTTATAACCTCGTGCATCGTCACATCATATTGCTAATGTGAGCTGCTTGATGCTATTGAGGAAAGCCCACGTAATCAAAGTTTGTGTAACAACTCATAAAGGCCAATTATAACTTAAATTTGTGATCTACGCTAATTCGTTATCAGATGCGTATTTCCTTCTGACATTTCAGTGCATCTCTGTAGCTTTCCAGGAAAATTATCATCTCCTTAAAATTCTCATTCCTAGTAAAATTTACGAACGTGCATCTGAAAATTTACGCTTTAAAAAGCATGATGCGTGCAGCAAAGAAAAGGTCGCTACCAAAGTCAATCCATGTAGATCACGCTACCAAATGAAGATGATGCATTTTTATTTGATTGCGTTTTTGATATGGACGGTGTAAGAAAAACTTCATAAAATAACTAAAAACTCATCATAAAAAACGTATGCTTCAATACTGGCATGCATGTAGTGCACATTTCAATTGAATGTGACTAGATGATGCTGCTAGGAGGCAAACGTAGGAGAGTAGAGTATGCAGTCGAACTCACAAAGACCTAGGAGAGTAGAGCAAGCAATCGAACTAAAAAACCAGTAAAATAAGTCGAAAAAGACTTGAAAATGTCTTATAGGTCAAAAACATACCACCTTAGAAAGTAGCCGGCAATTTAAGTAGTGTAGAGTAGAGCGAATAACTTAAGTTATTGAATTTAGGGAATTTGGGGGAATTAGGAATTTTCTAGAGAATTACTTCCAGAATCTCATTGTGGAGTAGGTTACCAGCGACGTGAAACTCGTCCGCCTCCGCAGCGCGTCTGCCCAGGTCAGCTGCTCGCTCCCGCGAGCTAGCCAATCATGGAGTGACCTCTAATTAGCGCTGACCTCTTATAGCCGTCGCGATTAGGGCAGGTTCAGAAGGGCCTA